AATCCCCCCTCTGTAATTTCTGAATGGGGTCACAATTCAGTTAGAATTATAGAGAAGCATGGTGGTGGGAAATGACTGAGATCTTGTATCTGCTGCCCTTGCAAGGAAATCCAAGCAAATATATGCAGGAGCTTCTAGGGGCTATTGGTGTACACATAATATATGCATAATTCTATCAGTAGTGATCTCTGTTTATTTAATTAACTCATGTTTGGCAAAGTGTAGTTAGGATGTAATCATGGAGGGAAATCTTGAGAGTGGCATAATTTCCCAAGGATTATGAAGACCAGTTAGGTTTGTAGGCCTTGCTTCTTCTTTCAGTTTTCACAACTGGAAAGAATCTCAAGAACAAACATCTCAAGATTTTTCAGGGGATTTTCCCCCTTAAATTTTCTAGTCTTTTTCAAGGAAAAGAAACATTCACATTTAAAAATCTATTTATTCCTTTAGATCTTCTAGCAATAGCTTATAAATCAGGTTAGAAACTCTTCAATTTGGGTTGGATCAAGCTTCAGGGTCTGATTCTCAGTTTCACTGGGGCCCCCTTTTGCTCTGCTTTGGCCCCACCATGGGGATCCATGAAGAGATTGTAAATATTTTATAAAATTACTTTTGAGTTTCTTGAAGGCCCTTTTATTCTACCAGAGCAGTGTGAAAAGGCCTTTGGTTAAAAAAAAAAAATCAAGGACCTCCCTGTCCCTGTACTTGTTCTGATCTGACACCTTCAAGGCTACTGTGAATGCATAATGAAAGTGTACCAAAGGATTTGTTTCACAGTGTGCTTTATTTCAGTTTATGAAAATGTTGACTGGTTCAGATTCCCTTTCTTCAATCCTTGCCAAGTGCACCTTTACTTCTGTGAACTATTCTGGTCAGTTTACAGCTTGTGGATGGCATTTAAAAACAATAATGCAAAATATTAATTTGCTACACATTGGCTGTATCTATACAAGTGGCAGGCTGTGCAGTTTTTACTTTGCAGTCATTTAGTACTTGCATAAGTCCTATGCAAGTACTAAATGAGCCTGTGCAGTAACTGGCATTACTGCACAGTAGCAATGAGCTACTGTCTCAAAGCTCATTACTAGTGTGCAGTAGCATTGTGTCACAGTTAGTGCCCCCCACCACTACTGTACACTAGCATCTCATGTAGACATGGCCTTTGTGTAGGATATTTCAGTAACAGAGTTCCCCTTGTTGTTGCGAACTTCACGATGAAATAAGTGAGCTTGATTCTGCCATTTCTTTTGTTCAGACACATTTCAAACTTTGCTGAAGCCTGAAAGAAGAATGCTCAAATTCTATCCTCTTACTCCTTAAATGTGAAATGCACGTTTGCAAGGCTAGCATGTGGCCCATACCTATCGCGACTATACATCCCAGTTTACCTAGGACAGTCCCAGATATTGGAGGCTGTTCCTGGCTGACTGGTAAGAATTTAAATGAGTGTCCCAGAAACACAGGAGTGCGGGGTGCAGTCCTGTGGGGAGATGGAGCAGTGCAGAGTGTCATGGTGCCTGCCTGCCTGCCCAGTACACCACACTGCCCCAGCCCTGTCTTTGCCTATAGCAGTGCCACTGGCTTTGGGGGCCAAGGAGAGGGGAGTGTCCTCGATTTCCCACTCTCCCATGTAGTCACCCTATCCCTACCTTATATTGGTCTCCTAGTGCTAAGAGCATCAAAGTTTTTTCATTTGCTCTCTCAAAAAGAAATAATTTTCTTGCTCCATCTCCCATTTGATAATTTTCAGAGCCGTGGATGTAATAGCTGATTGTGACTTATCTGGTACAGAAGTTCAATAGACTGATTTAACCTAAACTGATTAAATCTGATATTACATCCATCCAGATCTATCTTAGACTGGTTTCTGCCATTTTGAAACTGGTCAATGTGCACTAAACTTCTGTTCTGTTACAGGTTTAGACCAGCTTCCGTTCACTTATACCCATTTATATATAATGTCTGTACTTAGCCATATTATGTAGTGCTATGATCTAATGTACATTGTGAAGGATACTGTCTTGATTTCTTTTAATTTCCTTCCCTTTTCTTGTCAGATCTGAGTTACAATCACCCTAAACCAAACAAGCAGGTTGAGAATCAAAATAATTTAATATTCTATACTTTTTTAACAGTGGCAAGAGGTTGATTTGTACCTTTCTAAAATGACTTGTTTCTCTCTCTTTCTCTCTCTTTCTTTTTTTCTTGCTGTAATTGACGGAGTGGGAGGAACTCTAAAGCTAGATACAGAGATTCAAAAAGTCCGAGGTGGAATCAACCTAAGTTATACGGTTTTCTGTAAGTGGCGTAGTTTAGATCAGTAGTGAATAGAACATGCATTCACCCTTTGTTGGAGGGGACAAATCTTTGACCAGGTTCAGCCATTTTTAAACCAGTCTGTGTGTGCTGAACTTCTGTTCTGTTACAGGTATAGACCAATTTTTGATTACTTTTACTAGTAAAAGTGTAATGTCTATATCTGGCCTAAGCCTGTCATAAAAGAAAAGGGTTTTTATGCATCATTAGAATTTAGTTTCTTTTATCAATTTGAGTTTTCAGGTATTTAAATTCAGGTGAACTTTGGGATACTGGCTTTTTAAAATTATATACGAAAGAAAACTTTGTTCTTACTAGTGCCCTCATCAGAATATCTTCTGGCAGAAGCACTTCATAGGAGATTGATTTATTATAATTTTATCTGTGATTAGCTCATTAGCTTAGAAAATAACAATAATAAAAAAACCTTTAAAATTCTATTATGTCAAATCTTCCCTCCAACATCCAAGGCCTTAAAAAGAATGGACTCACCTTGTTTCATCTGTGAAGGAATGACACTTTACTTCTTCACTGTACTGTAGTGGCACAATAAGTGACAGTATGCAGGGAAACTTTGGGTCAGGGACTTGGTGCAGCCAGTGTGTCTGCCGCTATTCTGAGCCACTGACAAAAACCACCATATGCATGCGTACAGGAGGCTGTGGCATGATTGTTAACGAGCCATGTGCTGTAGCTTCTGCAAGTAACTGCGCTGTGGCTCCATGTGTGATAACAGGGGGAGGAGGGGGTGAATTCTGTCCCATGGCAAGCCCTGTGTAAAATCCTTGACTCTTAAAGCACAGTGTTCCTGCATTTTCTTGGGATGTTGTTCTACATTTTCAATTTATTTTCTGTGGTAGTTTTTTCTTTGCTTTTAGTTTTAAAAATGAAATAAACCCTTATGTACTTGCTAATGCTTAAACTTCCACATGTGACACTTTGGTTGTTATAGCAGTTAAGAACAGGGATCGGTCTAATACCAATGTCTACAACAATATTGGAAAGCTGATTATGCTTTCCCCCAAAATTTATGTATGCTTTGGTGAGTTTTCATTGTCATAGGGGTGGGCCTTTATTATGCCACATAATACAGTAAAATGAGAATTACTTGAGTGTTTAGTACTTGAGATAATCACTGCTGACAAGCACCTGTTTAAAGAAATGATCTGTATTCTTAAATACAATTAGTTGTCTAAAAATCCAAATTATATTCCCAAGAAACTCTTATTAGGCGTTTTAAGTACCAAAAAATATATATGTGTCTCTGGATCTAAGTATTTATTAGTGACCCCTACAATCCTGGCAATCCTTTCTAATAATAAAGTGTTGGACCTGTCAAATGATGGCACAAATATCCTAATCTGAACTGACATAGCTTTCTAGCCCAGTTCATCAATCATGTTTTATTAGCTTTAAAAGAGCCAAGCTGCTATCTGTCATTTAAATGTTGTAGTGGTGACAAAAACTGGTGCCGAAAATGTGCTGCAGGTGTAACTTTCACTCAAAGACTATTTCTGAGCAGTGAGCCTGGTTATGTTCATGCAGGGAGAGAGTGCCATCTTCAGTTTCAAGTGTCCGCATAAAGAAGTACTGAACTTTGGGGTAGTGCAATAGGTAAAAACACATAATGTAGAAATCAGAAATGAGTTTGTCAAAAAAAAATTTAGATGATGCCTTCAAGTCACCAAAGAAGAGCTTGCATATAGCATTCTTGCTTATGTTTAAAAAAAACCAGCTTGTTTAGACATGTCAGTTGCAACATGAAACTTGTAATACACTAAATGCCTGTAAAGCGCGGACTGAGAATAGTCTTTGCTTCTGTCTTTGTGTTCATGAGGAAGTGTAAAGCAGACAACGATAATAAAAATATAGGGGGAAAATACTAAATGGAGCTCAAAGCAGTAGCAACCAAGTTCCTGTTCATTGTGTACTTAAGACATGAAAACTACTGATAGTTACTGTTGTATTTTCATAATTCTTAAAGTGCAGTCAATTTTGTGTATTCTGTATGAGCGGAATAGACTTGGTGTTTGTGTTGAGGTCCTGGCTCTTGACCCTTGTTTTTCTTGGCTCTGTCATTTTAGAGCAGAGCTTGAGGATACTCCTCATCTCTTGTTTCCAACATGTTAACATATTCAAGTAAATATTATCCAGTACAGACACATACACTAGTCGTAGGAGGAGTGTTTTTGAAAAGCGTTTAAATCCAGATGAAACAATGGAATTCATCCTCCTTGCATTTGAATTTCTTTTATTTATGAGATAAATATTTTCTTGGCAAACTTCCTTTTCTTGGCCTACCATAAAGCTTTTATAACCTTTCAAAATGTTTTGCTGTAATCAAAGGTAAACATGACAGCCTTAAAAAAAATCTAAATCGCTTAGCATTTGGAGACTATTTCATTTCTATATATTATAACACTTAAAAGAACTTCATACAATAAAGAGCAGATGTGTCACAGTGACAGCAGGCGAGCAGGGACTAGGAAGGTAGTTTCATTAAAAGAGCCTTGGGATAAATGCAGCACATTAGATACCCACTGAAAGACAGGAGCTGTTGATGGGGGTGACCTCTGAATGCAAGTCATCTTACTATAAACAGAAGGGTGTGGAAAGCCATTGGTCAGAGCCAAGCTTGTTTACTATCCAGATCTCTTCTTAGTTAACTTAAATAACTGGAGGGAGTGAGGCACAGTGACAGTTCAAGGAAGAACACAAAGTGTCCTTAGCAGTTCCTGAATTTCAAACAATACTGTTGACTGGCACGCAGCTTTCTGATCCTAAAACTCTGGCGGCACACCTTAAATGCTGTACAGTGGAATTTAATTGGCGCTAAACATAACACTAGTATCTGTTTCTGGAGCGTGAATTTACACAGTTGGGGAATTCATTTCAGCTTTCAGAGGCAAATGAGGTAAGCTTGTGATGGTTTTTAATTTGAGATATTGATATACTGTCGTTTACTGATAAATTGAGAAAAACAAGTGGGTGCCAGTTGCAGAATCAGATTTCATTCTGAAAAGGAGGTATTTTCTTTTCTGTAATTCTGAACTGTGGTTTTGTTGATTTAAACTACTGGAATAATACATTGGGTGCTAGTGACCGAGTTTAGCAGTTGGGTAGGTAGGTCATATCTATGAATTCCTCCAAATATTTACTTTTTGTACTCTCTCCAAATAACTATATTTCATTTTCATATTGGATTATTTTTTCAGTTCTGTAGGAAATAAATGTTTCCCGATACAATATACTGTTACTAGCCTTTACTAGTTACTAATGTTATGTTTCATACTTTATAAAATTTCAAAATAGTTTGAAACAAATGATTGTTTTATAGAAGAGACGCTTCATGGCTAAAATATTGTGACAGGTGTTTAGATGTGCAATTATCATTTTTCAGAGCCTCGTCCATAAAATTCATTAGTTGCCAAATGGAAAAAAAATAATTGTTGTTGGCATTAAATAAATAAATAAGTGTCTTCTATGATTTGATATCTGTTTAGGAACTGTATTAAAGTATAAATGCTAGTCTTTGGAAGAAAAGGTAGCATTTAACTTCCCTAAATTGTCATTTGAGGGAACAGTGGAGTTTACATTTGATTGTCATTTTATTGGTCTGTGAAAACTTTCAGAACTTTTTATATGCTTTGCAATTATGTAAATACTTTCTTGCACATGATTGACTACAGATTGTAAAACACTACTGTTTTAAATAGGTCCCTAGTATGTTGCTCTACATTGTGTCCAAATGCATTTTTTTTTACCTTTAAGTCAGAGTTGTAAGCGAGTACAGCAAAGCTGCTGCTCTGCTGCTTTTAGGGGCCATGATGTGAGTTGGCATAATGATTACTGCTTCTTAAATGTCTGTTTCATTCAAGGGAACTGAGAAGGGGTTTGCTGTAGGAGTACTGTTTTATTATCCTAGTAAAGGAAACAAAGTTCAGGGGAAAAAAGCAACCTAGTTCTGTCCATCTGTGAAAATTGATTTACTGCTACAGGGAGCTATTTTGTTTAGGGAACCTGTTTTGAAGAAAGGTATGATAAATTATTATAGCCAATAAGTTCTTCAATTTAGTTTCTAGGGTCTGGTGAACAGCAAGCAGCAGTATCCAATTACATGTTTCTTTTCTTAGATTGCTCACTATTTTCTGAAATACATTTCAGTTGAATAACTTTTAACTGCCTCACCCCCTTCTTGTCCTTTAGATTTTTACCTTCTAAATTAAACTAAATTAAAATGCTAAATGTGTATATATATACACACACACATATATATACACACAACATAGCATAAAAATATACATACAACATAGCGTTCCAAATTCTTTGCTTAAAATTATTTATTTTGCCAAAGTATCTTCCAAAGAAGCTTTCTTTAAAGCCAAGAATGATTTTGTTTGAATTTATGAAAATACTTACTATCCCACATCAAATGAATTTGTAAATTAAGTGACATCACTGCTGTACGATGTCAATTATGTCCAACAGCTGATCTAAAATATAACTTTCTGGAAATTGTATGTGTATATAGAGAAGGTAATGCAGCTGCTAAAGAAATACAAAAAACAAATGAGTTCATAAGTATATATTGAGTGAGATTTCATAAGTTATCCTAGCATTGTGTAAAATGGAATGAGTTAATACGAAAGCTGTGTAATTCTAAAATATATCTTATTTTTATGCTAATAAAGCAAGTTCCTTCTTTTTTCTGCTGCTTTTTCTGCAAATAAGTATATGTAAATTTGCTTAGCATTAGAATAAACTTCAGAGTGCTTGAAATTGGTAGTTGAAATATTTAGTATTATTTAATTTGTGTTTTCAACTTAGATTTTTAAATATAGCTAATAAATGCTAGTTATTTGATATTGCAGCTGTATCATAATATTCTGTTTCTGTATTTTTAAATAAAATAGTAAATGACAGCATGACTACACTATGTATTAAAATGTATGGACATTGTGTATGGAACATAATTTTTTATTTTAATTTTGTTTTGAACTACTACCAAAATGTTGTTGGCTACAACAACAACAAAACTCTCATGTTCCCATAGTACCTTGCTAGAATATTTGATCTTTATGTATAACAACTATGTTTTATATTTTTTTCTCACTTAATGTAACATTTAAGAATAGTTTAATTTGAGAGTTTAATGGAATACATAATAATTTGTAAGAAAATTATAAATTCATGTCTTGACTTATCATCATGATTTTGATAAAGCTTAATGTGAAATCCTTTTTTTTCCCAAAAAGGGATAGAGTGAATTATTTAAAAAAATATTGGTTTAATTAATAGGTTCTATATTAGCCAAAATCCAAATACAGTGGAATTCAGAGGGCTTATTTTTTAAGCTGAAACTAACTTGAAACAGCATAATAAATATACAAGTTAAAATACATTTCTCTTTGGTCAAATTAAAACCTATCTGAGTCACCAAATTAGGACACTTTAGGAGTATCTATAAATTGGATTCTTAGTCTTGAAATGAGAGCTTGTAATTTGATATATCTAGCAATAAAAACATTTAGAATGCAAAAATAATTGTAAAAGATTCCTCTAAAGAATGGTAATTTATTTTTATATTTTATATGTACATGTGTGCACATATGTGTTTGATATATGAAAATTTGGTTTTTGATCAAATAAAAAAAAAGGTAAAAGTTTTAAAAATATTTTTTAGTCTTTTTTTGCACTTGATTTGTTTTGAAAAAGTTACTAGTTTTCTTGATTAACCAGGTTACCTCTGCATTCAATTAGAGTCAGGACTAGGAAGCAAATGTATATATATTTCAGATCTTTCAAACTGTTAGCTTCGCTGAAGCACAGTTTAACTTGATTGATACTTGAGTTTTAAAGCAAATAAGAACTAATTTTTGCCTGTGGCCAGAAATCTTTGAAGTTTCTTACTTGTGATGAAACTGGATTAGTTAAGTGGTAGATTTCTGGCTTGGATTGTGACCCTGTTGTGCTTGGCAGGTTGTGATAAATGGGGGGAATCTTTCTTAACCTTGTGGCCAGAGCATTCCAGTATCTCATGCAGGAAAAAAGAAAGATGTAGAGGACTTTGCAAGTTAAGTATGAAAAGAGGAAAAGGCTTCTCTGTGTTTAAGGGATGAGCCTGAGTGAATGCTATGTTTATTTTTCTGAAGCAATCAGATATGCTTGAGAAGACTGTGGAAGAAAGTAATGCCAATGAGTGGCGATATATGTTATCATTGCTTCTGACAGTTAACTTTTGACTGTATGACTCATCCTTTAATATTAAATTGTTATATTTTTGTTTTTGTTTTACATGCTTTCAGAGTTAGAGAATCGGAGCTGTTGTGTTCACATTCTTCTAACTGAGGTAGTTTTCTTTAACTAATGCTAGTTATGTATGCAAAGCAGTCCAAAATAAATTGGAAAGCCTCCTTATTCAAAGTAATTGCTTTTTTTGTCAAAGAATCTACAGTAGGCTTGAAAAAAAAGTGTCAAAATGGAATTATTTGGGGAAAAAACGGCTACATTAATTGCTTTTTGTAAATTTAAAATGTGGGTAGAACACTTTTTAAAGGTAAACATATTTTCAGTTAAAAGGATGTGCCAAAAGTTTTAGGCTTAGAAGTGTAAAGCAACTAACTAGGCAAATTTTCAAATGAAAAAAAGTATAAAAAAGGAAAAAAGAAAGGAAGAAAAAGAATGAGAGAACTACTTACATGTGAGCTGAAATGTGATCTATCAAGGCATCTTGTGGTTTTTCTGTGGCATTTTAAGTGCTGTATTACCTCTTATGTAGTCCCTGTTGACTAATAATGAAAAAATATGCCATTAGACGATGGTCTGATATTTATTTACATATTCCATACTGCAAATACAGATATGAATTTTGATGTCAAAAACTGTACTAAGTAAAAGGGAAAAGGACAGTAATATGGCATTGTGCTTCTTGATTGTGGGTTTAAATATCACTTTAATATACATGCATGCATGTTGGTATTCATATATAATATAAATAGATTTTATATTTTTCGTAATGTTAGGAATATTCATGTCAGTTGAGTTGTTTGCTTATTCCTCCATAAAAAGTGAGATGTGTGACAATCTATGACATTATTATATAATATTTATTTTATTTTTGTCTGGATGTAAAATTGTGTTGTAAATATCTCCAGAGCATGAGACTAGTAACTCTTAGTTGCATGAGTAACAACTTAAGTCAAATTACCTAACTGTATAATACATGCATATATTATATACATCCTTGCTATATAACATGTATGCCTATATATCACTTAACATTCACTACATAGAGTATGCATGCATGTAACTTTGCATATTTATTTTGATTTCCTATGCATTTATTGGAAAACACATTTAAATTTGTATTGTAATGAGCCTTTGGCACAGTAGCAAATGCGTAAATTATTCAGACACTTTTACTTAATTAAGCAGTCTACCTACATCTTTTTTTTAAACAATTGCTTTCCCAGTAGATATTTCTGCTCCTACAATAAAGTCCTAGAGGTCCCAGGAGTCAAGAGAAAATTGAAGCGGCATCTGTTGAATGACCGACAGTACAGATGCATACTATTAGGTCTTTGGATTGGGTCCATTTCTCTTGTGAGCTTTTATTTGTTAAAGTTCAGTGTGACTGTTAACAATTCTAGCTTTTTTATAAGTAAAGCAAGGTGCATGACTTAAGAAAGTTATTATCGTATTTCAGCCACCAATTTACTCTTTCCAACAGATAAATTTTAAGATGTTTAATTTAACTGAAGTAGCTTGTTGACATTTTTAGTTATCTGATGTAGTTTATTAATGTGGCAACAGCTGCTAGAAATTATTGCTACAATACTAAACAAATTAGTGTCACTAGTGAGGAAGAACAGAAATGTATCAAACTGAAGAAAAGGGACAGCTGTATGCTGCAAA